AAAAATTCCTGATCAGCACTTTAGAACGAGTACGATCTTTTATTTTGAAATAGAGTATACTCAAGATGGGCGAAGCGAAATATGGTTGAGAACTCAATATGGGTTCTACAAATTATTCAAGCCATCAAATGATTATATGCCATATTTTATGCCGATATTTAAAAGAGTTCGTGTTACAAATCTAGCCATCGAGAGCATGGTCAATGATACTAACATTACATATAATCAGTTCATCGGGTTACTTCAAGATCCTTCTTCCTCTGCTTCCTCTTCCTCTCCGTCTTCCTCATCATATGTTCCAGAATCTTCAAATTTAAGATTATCAGAAAAAGATGTACAGGATAATCTCGAATATATTATTGAGGAAATACAGACTTGGGTAGATGAGCAAGAAGCTTATGGATTTTTCGATTGTCCGCTATTAGCTAAATTTAATGAACTTCGTGATAGAGGAGCTAAAAGTAAAAAATATAGAAAACATCATAGCACGGTCGATACGGACACCGTCAAGACAAAGCGTAATGTATTGAAAAATCCAAATTTAGCCGTTTTACAACATCAAAATCAGACGTGCGTAACTCCATTCATAAATGAATTAACCGGTGGTCTGTTCTCTCGGAAATTTATTACCGTAAACCATATCCGGGAGGAAGAACAACAGCTTGAGTCAATTCCAGATGAATCAGTGGAGAAATCATCGATCAGAGAAACCCCAATTGTCGTCAAACCTGTTACCCACCATATTGAATGGCAAGATAAAAAAATTGGAAAGTATAAAGACATTAAATATTATAAATCAGCAATCATCGATGGTGAATTGGTCCATGTTGGAGATATCGTATATTTGCGCAATGATGATTCAGATGAACCCTGGTTTGCCAAAGTTGAATATATGTTTGACGACCCTAAAGATGGTAAAATGTTCCATTCAAGATTTTTCAGTCATGGAAGGGAAACCGTGTTGGAAGAAATGGCCGGACCACGAGAAATTTTTTTGTTGAATAACTGCACAGATAATCCTCTTGAGTCGATTATGGGAAAGGCAAATGTTAAGAGACTTGGATCTGAAGAAGGTGAACTTTTTACTTTCGATGATGATATGTATTATTTTTATCGGTTCTGGTATGATGAAACATTTGCAGCTTTTGAAGACGCGCGACTCCACGAAGATCCAAATGTACAGTTTTTATACTGTAATGAATATGAAAAATGTCATTCTTGTGAGAACCGATTTGCTAAAAAAGCCGAGAAATATCCTAAATGGATATCATCGAAAGAGTCACCTAAAAGTGGGTTTAGATATAAAGGCATAGAATATCATATTCATGACTTTATATATATGGTGCCCGAATCGAAAGATAGCCCTTATGATATTGGACAGATCATGGATATTTCAAGTAAAGGTGAACAGATTATGTTGGATGAATACTTTAAAGAAACTGGTGACGATTCTAATAAAATCGCCTCAGTGGCCATTTTGGTGCGCATGCTTGGTCGCTATGACGATATTATTAAAGCTAGAACAAAGAGGCCAGTTAATATGTCCGCAACATATAGGGATATAATAACGATATCCGAAGAAGTTAAAGATTGTCGTCGTCTTTACTTTACGGAAGAAACGAAATATCTGAAAAACGTCGATATATTAGAGGGCGTGTGCACTGTTAGTCATAAGGAAAATATTAATGATCTTGAAGCATATAAAGATGAGACCGATACATTTTATGTAGACTACAAGATACCAAAATCTTTTTCACGACTGGCTGATGTAAATGAAGTGCATATGGAACCTAATGAAATAACAATTTGTCAAACATGCGCCGATCTTCGTCAGGATAAACAAAAAAATTTAGAAGAGTTTTACGAATTTATTAAAGATAATCGAAAACTCAGATCCATGGATATCTTTTCGGGCTGTGGTGGTATTACAGTTGGTATGGAACAAACTGGTGTAGTGGATACACGATGGGCGATAGAATTTGCTTCGAGTGCCGCCTTAACTTTTCAAAAGAACAATCCGGGTGCCATCGCATACAATCAGTGTGCTAATGTTTTACTGAAAAGGGCAATCGATGAACATTGCAATAAGAAACAGCTTGAGGTATTGAATGATTTCTTAGGTAATAAGGTCCCAAGCATGCCTGCTCCAGGTGATGTTGATTTCATTTATTGCGGACCTCCTTGTCAAGGATTTAGTGGTATTAATCGATATAAAAAAGCAAATGATATAAAAAATAGCTTAGTAGCTACTGCACTAAGTTACGTAGATTTTTATAGACCTGAATACTTTCTATTGGAAAATGTACGTGGTATGCTTTGCTTCCGTTTAGGAGGTGAGCAGGATGGAGTTAAAATCAAAGGTGGTATTAAAATGGGCGTTGTAAAATTTATTTTACGTGCATTAACAGCGATGGGATATCAAACACGATTTAATGTTCAACAAGCTGGAAATCATGGAGTTCCTCAAAGTCGTCGACGTCTATTTATATGGGGCATTAAGCGAAATTCGTATTTGCCAAATTTTCCTCAGAATACTACTTGTTTCAATAAACAAGGATCAGTTAATATATCACTTCCAAATGGAAAGACTTTTACTTACAATGAAAGTAGTGGTGGTCACTCACCATTACCACCAGTGACCGTTGGCGAAGCAATTAATGATTTGCCAGCGTTCGAATTTGTAAATCCTCACGAAGTTTATCCGGCGACAAAAGAAGATAAAGAACTAATACGCCCATACAGGCAAATTGTTGTCCCTGAGAGACGTTGGGTTGGAGATAATGTAACTGAATATAAATTAAATCCTTTATCAGAGTATCAAAGGCAATGTCGTAAAAAAGCAACTATTCTTCATAATCACATTGCGCGTGCTTTCAACAAGATAACTGTTGAACGCATAATTCGCATTCCGATGTTTCCTGGTGCCGACCATTCAAGTGAGTAAAATATTTTTCGTCCGGATTTTTTTTTTTATCTTTTCTTAATTTTCTTTCCAACATTAGATCTCCCTGAAAAGCTGAAACCTTGGTGTTTAAGTGATCCAAACTCGGCCGCTAGTAGACACGGCGGCTGGAAAGGACTCTTTGGTCGTCTTGATTTTGACGGACATTTTCTTACGGCTTTGACCGACATAAATCCAATGGGGAAAACAGGGGTAGGTATTATAGAATGGTTGGTTAATTTATCCTAATTTATCCTAATTTATATTTCTTTTTTTAAGACCGTTATACACCCTAACCAAAGAAGAATTCTTACGGTTAGAGAATGTGCTCGCGCACAAGGATTTCCTGATTCGTTCGTTTTTTATTCTGATCGTGATGATACTAAAGATATGCATCGACAAATCGGAAACGCCGTGCCGCCACCATTGGCTTATGCTTTGGGACGGCAATTAGTTGAAGTACTTTTGAAAAAATATAATGAAAGCAATAAATCAAAAGGAAAAGGAAAGGCATTATGATATTTGATGTTCTATAAATTTTTAGTTATCTATGTATACAATTCATTCCGGGCTTTGGCTTTCTGGCATGTTTTAATTTAATGTATTGAATTAACGTGTATTTTTTTAATTATCCAAACGCGTTTTGGTGAACTTGTAACCACGTGTATGCTAAATGGATATAATCGGTTAGCTCGCATAGAAAAAGCTTTTTATTTCGAATAAAAATTCAATTTTTATCGATGTTGTGGCTGAGAACTTTAGGTGAAAATTATTATTTTAGAAAAGAGAGTGCAATCGTGTTGAAGTAGTGACTTGCAATGTTTTCACACTTTTCTGTTTTGTCAAAGGGTGGTAATTAAAGCTCCTCATAGGCCTTGGGACTCAATCCCAGCTGAGCCAAGCATTATAGACTTATAGGCTCACAAGCCAAACTTGATTTTGCAAAGCTTGAAAAGCTTGAGAAAACTCGTGAGCCTAAAGTTTTACATTTCAATTTTGGTTTAACATTTATATTGATCAAGCTTCTCTCAAAGTTACATTAAAATTGTCTGATTGAAATGAAAAAAAATTATTATCTGTTTGAAGAGAAAACGTGGAAATTCAAAGTTTACAAATACATTTGTATTGTGAAATTGCAGATTTCTCACGCAACTTTATTAAAAAAAAAATTATCAAGATCTGACCCAAACCAATGGGTTGGATCATAATATTTTTTTAACTCATCAGCTTTCTAACACAAGGCAAAACTTGGGTTTATAAATGTCAGAAACTATTATTTTAATTACTCGACATGTACTAATATAAAATTTTCCTTTGGTCATTTAACATATATTATTATTATTATTATAATGAAGATTTTTATTTTTATTTTTATTACATTTGACGCGAAAAATGTTTTGTAATAATAATTTTAATTTATAGTAAATCTTTACTGAATGAAAAAAATTGGTAAACTCATTTGCTTTCACCAAAATTCGCTGGTATTACACTAAAACTATATCTAAACACTCAACTGACTTTTTGGCTGGATTGCAAATTCATTGCATATTTCATTGAGGTGTTCGTTTATTAAACTACATATATATGGGGGTAGGCTAAAGCGGAGTAGAATCATGTGAGGTGATTCGGGTTAAAGCGGAAGTGTGACCGTATCACATG